ACTTTCTGAGTACCTTAAAACAGTCATTGAAAACTCCACCACAAGTACCACGTCAATGAATGTGATGAAATGAGGGAAATCATGCAGGCGTACTCTAAAAAGAGAGAGGTCAGTGCTCAGGAGTGTGTGACTCGTGCATGTGGAATAAACATGAAGAAGTGTTCACGTGGTGTCATATTCGTGCCTACGGATGACAACGCACTGAAAATGAGTCGGCCCATGTCTTACCTGGAGAACACAACATTAGAAAGTGTAAATGTGTGGATGACGTCTTTGACTGACAAATACAAATCCAGACCAGAAACACCAGAGTTTGAGCAGATGTGTTTGGCTGATTTCGCAGCTACTTGCAGAATTGTCTACGGCCAGCAGAAAAAAGGAAAAGATGTGTTGCCTCTCCTCAATGACATGGGATTTGTGCAAAAGCGTAAAAACGATAAGCCCGCTATCATCAGATTTTACCGCTGCTCACAGGAAAAATATCCAGAGAAGTTCTATGGCACATTACTGAAACTGTACATTCCTCACCGATCAGACCTGGAACTGAAAAGACGGCATTTCCCCACGTACGAGTCCTTCTACAAGAGTGGTTGTGTCCAACTACCAGGTTCTGACCATCCTGAGTATGTCCGTCACATTGTGAAACGAAACAAAGACAAATATGAGAAAAACAGCGAGGACATTGAGAATGCAGTGGAAGAATTTGAACAGAACAGAGGAGTGATTGATGAATGGTGCAATCTGGCTCCAGAATCTGAAGTGGAAAGGTTGGAATGTATCGAAGAACTGGAGGCAAGAGAGCCAGATCATGAAAATGTTCAAGAAAATGTTCCAGAATACACTAATCAAGCTAATGCTGCAACAGAAGCCAGAGCCATCAGAGAGCCTCCGACCTTTGACCCCACAGTGCTACGGAAAATGTATCAGAACCTGAACCAGAAACAAGCATGTGTGTTCTATGCAGTTAGAGACTGGTGCGTAAAGCGTGTTTGTGGCCTAAATCCTGAGCAGTTTTTCTTTTACGTCAATGGTGGTGCTGGAACAGGAAAGTCACATCTCATTAAATGCATCTACTCAGAAGCATCTAAGATACTGTGCAAACTGCCCAGCCATTCTGAGGAGGTCGACATATCAAACCCCACGGTCCTGTTGACAGCTTTCACTGGAACTGCAGCCTTCAATATATCAGGATCAACACTGCACTCTCTGCTCAAGCTTCCACGGAGTTTGAAACCTCCATTTCAAGGACTTGGTAACCAACTGGATGAAGTCCGATCAGAACTTTTAAATGCTGAAATCCTCATCATTGATGAAGTCTCCATGGTGTCAAAGCCCCTGTTTGCTTATGTGGATGCAAGACTGAAACAGATCAAAGGTAGTCCCAAACCATTTGGAGGAATGTCAGTAATAGGTGTTGGAGACTTTTATCAGCTACCACCAGTGCGACAGTCAAAGACCCTCTGTGTGTACGAGCCATGTGAGATTGATCTATGGCAGGAACACTTTCAGACAATCACCCTGACTGAGATTATGCGGCAGAAGGATGATGTTGCCTTTGCAGAGATGTTGAACCGGATCCGTGTGAAAGGAAAGTCAGATGAGTTGTCTCAAGCAGACAGAGCCTTGTTGTCACAGACCATCACTGAACCATCACTTTGTCCACCTGATGTCCTGCACATCTTTGCAACTAATAAACAGGTTGATTCACACAACTCAGTAACATTAGCTCTGCTCCATTCTAATATCACCAAGATCGATGCAGATGACTACAAGAAGGACCCACGAACTGGAAGAATGGCTCGACAAGCCCAACCATACAAAGGAACCAGAAATGAGTTACCAGACACACTAAACGTAGCTGAAGGTGCTCGAGTCATGCTCACCAGAAACATAGACGTGTCTCAGGGATTGGTGAATGGATCGTTTGCTACACTAGTCAGGGTAATAACCGCAGAACAGAGTGGTGTTGCACATGTCACTATGCTCGGGCTCAAGATGGATGATCAAACTGCTGGAAGGAATTACCGTAATAGAGCACCAGGCGGCCCTGATGATGTGGTGTACATAGAGAGAGCAGAGGACAATCTGAAACAGAAAGGAGTTGTACGCAGACAGTTTCCTGTTAGACTTGCCTTTGCCTGCACGATACACAAGGTTCAGGGTATGACGAGGACATCAGCTGTAGTGTCACTGAACACATTTTTGAACCTGGCATGGCTTACGTAGCCATCAGTAGAGTGACCTCTCTCAGTGGACTGCACATGCTGGATCTGGATGAGAGTAAAATCTATGCCAACCCAGAAATCACTGGAGCCCTCGAGACCATGAGACAAGTCAACTTGGACGACATGATGCCTCTTCTTCGTATCAAAGAGGCCTCGAGCAGACATGACACTCTGACCATTGTTCACCATAACACGGAAGGTTTGCCATCTCACATCAATGACATCAGGAGCCATCATGAACTGTGTCTTGCAGATGTTTTGTGTCTCACAGAAACTCACCTTCAAGGCTCCTTTGTTGCAGAGAGTCTCCATTTAGAGGGCTACAACATGTTCAAACGCAACAGACACCTGTCCTACACAAATATTCCACAAATAGCCAACAGAGGTGGTGGTGGAGTTGCTGTTTATGTGAAAAGCCACATTCAGGTGCGTGAGAAACAGTACGTACATAATGTGACCGATCTTGAGTTTGTGGCTCTGAAGGTAGAAGCCCCAGTGAGAGCCCTGATTGCAGCTGTGTACAGACCTCCAGACTACAGTGTGAGATCATTCCTGTCCAACCTGGGGAGCCTGCTGGACTCATTGGAGATCATGGAGTGTCAGCCCATCATTGTCTGTGGTGATTTCAACGAGAATCTCTTCTCCAACACTGGTAAGCCAATCCTTGAGCTCTTCCAGTCCAGAGGATTTGCACAAGTCATCACTAATGCAACCACTGACAAGAACACACTGCTGGACCTCATTTTCATCTCTCAACCACAACGCTGTCTCCACTCTGGTGTGATGAGAACTTATTACAGTTATCACAACCCTGTTTACTGTGTCATGTCCTTTAACAGTCCATGAAGGTATCAGGTGAGTTTTAAAGAAAAATGCAATGTACTTGTATATAAATTGATTTAATACAATTATGCATGATTATACAGAGGAGGGGGATCCGCCATACAGCCGTTTCCATCTTTCCACCACAGCAGGGCCTCCACTCTGGTACAGTAAAAAACATGTCACTTGTCACAATCATGTTTTCTGTCTACATTCCTCCAACAGGTCTTAAAATTGTCAGGTAAGACCAAAATCTACTGAGAATCGTGTACTTTTTTTTTTAACAATACCACATTGTTGTTAGTCTGGGATTATGTAATCTTCAATGTAAAGAAAACTGAATCATCTGGTCAAACTAGTTGTTGCACTGTAATAAGATTGTAGAATGGGCTAATTTTAAGTGTTCACAATATTGGATAATATTATGGGTCATATAGTTTTCCAGGTAACCATGTTTTTTTCTAGCAATATTTCTAACACACTTTGGCCTGTGCATTTATCAGGGTGGGTTTGGTTTAGGGTTGATAAATGCACAGGCCAAAACTCTTTCAGCAGCTGTGTACAATGTAAAATGCATTGTACATAGCTGCTGACATTTAGTGTAGCAGACGCACATCAGAAAGTATGTGTTCTAGGTGTAACACATACTTTCTGATGTACCTACCAGCTGAAACCCCACACTTCCATCCCTATTAATTTCATTTTAATTATCCTGTGTTCTCTGTAGTGTTAAGTTTCCTTTGTACTGGACAGGAGACACAATTGTCATGTTTCCTATGTACTGTTAAGTTTCCTTTGTATTGGACAGGAGACACAACTGTCATGTTTCCTATGTACTGTTAAGTTTCCTTTGTATTGGACAGGAGACACAATTGTCATGTTTCCTATGTACTGTTAAGTTTCCTTTGTATTGGACAGGAGACACAATTGTCGTGTTTCCTATGTAGTGTTACGTTTCCTTTCTGATGGACAGGAGACACAGTCCTCCCTTGTCCTCTGTAAAGACACCTTCCAGTCTTGGCCTCACCTCCTTCTGCACTGTGAGGATCAGCTCACAGCATCTAAGACATGCCAAAGACTGCAGCACCAACTGAACTGTCAATCAACCGAGGACCCATCACAGTTAGACCTCATAGGGACACATTTGACTTCCTGCCTGTCCCCGTCATTCTTCAAAGCAAAGGACGAGAAAACACCTGCCTGTCTTTGCCTCACTTCCTGTCTGGCTCTGAGATTCTGGATCAGCTCATAACGACCAGGACATCCTGCCACCACTGCAGCAGCAGAGCAGATGTTGAAGCACCGTGTTAACTGTTCATCATCAGTGGACACATGCTGGACCACAGAGACACGTGTTCTCCCTGCCAGTGTTGAGGTTTCTTCACAACAGATAATAAGGTATTGTTTTCTTATTTCATATGTGATTTCTAATGTTTTGTTTTAATTTTGTTATCATTCATGTATTACTTTTGTATGAATGCGTGTTCTTAATAACACTAATTGTACATCCAATATAACATTCTAATTTTATATCCACTTCTTCCTTCAGGTCTTCCTCCTTTGTGATTCCTCCACTTCACAGTGAAGACACTCAGGACTGCAGAGAGCGCTGAACACAAAAGAAGCTGAACATCATGCAGCGTATTCAGTTGCACTGGACCTATATGTTGATCTGCTCTGCAGCAGAGTTCAAGGTATTTCATTACTGTGAATTATAAACCTTTTTAGAAAGTTGAGTTTCTAACAATAACTTCCTGTTTTATTTTTGTCAGGATCAGGTGTGTGACTGCAAGGAAGAGTCATCAGTCAGTCATCACTGTCCCAGTGACAGCCCCACCTTTATGCAGCTTCAAGCTCCTCCCTAAACCAGCTGTAAAGGTAACAACTGGGATTAGATCTTTTAAAAAATATATCTCTGACCACAACAAAACAATCCCCTGGTAGTCTTCCTACTTGCATGTGCTGTTTACATTTTTAACAACATGAATACATTTTCTTCTGTTTCTGTCTTTAAGGCCTCTCCTCCTCCATGTAGCTATAGTAACACTATCCTGACGTGATGACTGGAGCAGTGGATCTACAGCCGCTGCACAGGTCAAAGGTCATAATGTTACAGGTCTTCAAAGCATACACTACTAACTCATGAACAGTATTACTACAGGACACCTGTCTATTTTGTTTGTTTCATCTCTACCGTATTTGATCTAACAATATACGTTTTCCTTATGTTTCATCGCATTTTTTTTTCTTGATTGTATTTATTTATGTATTTATTATTTATTTGTCATCCGTCCCTTTTCAGTCGGATTTATGAGAAAATTAAGGATGAAAATGTTTGTTTGATTGCCTCGTGCATATGGACAAATTAACCTTGAAGAAATGACATATTTGTATCACAATGAGTCATTAGTATGGGGTTTCAGCTGGTAGGTATATTCAAGGTTTTTCACATGTGTACACCGATCCTTAGGATAACCTAAACTCTACTGAGACTGCCCAGTGTTAAATTGTAAGACTGTGAAATCCATCAAGTGTTTCATCTTCAGATGGCTAAAACATGACTTGGCGCAAAGAGCCTTGTCAAAAGATTTAAAAGGAAATCAAATCCTACAAAGCTTGGGTCCTAACCTTGAGTCAACAAGTGACTCTAACCCAATGTTCCATCAAAGTAAGGAGAACCCAGTGTGTCTCTGAGCCTCAGTAAACTGAGCTTAACGCTGGGATAGTCTAAACGACAATGTTGACAAGACTTATCTGTCCAGGGCTCCTGGACCTTGAAGTCTTGAACTGAGTATTACCCTAAGTCTGGAAACGATGTGAAAAACCTTTGATTGTAGGAAATGAACCATATTGTTAACTATTGAAACTATAGTACATTTATTCATGAATAACACAGGGACCAATGTTCACAAAACTGTGTTGATACATTTCTCACTCTAAGATTTTATCTTTCATGAAATACTCAAAATAATTATGACCAATACAACAGTACTTGTGCACTGTACTCATCTATATTATTTCATTATATTTCCATAGAAGATAATGAGTCAAAAAAGGATGTAAAGACGGGATCTTCTTTTGTGTTGTATTTCAACTCTTAGCTTTGATAAATGCTGCACTTCATCTTCCACACTGCCAATTTTGAAATTAAAATATTATGCTTTCCTGCTGTGCTGGTCTTCACTTTTTGGCATTAACACTTATTCAGCAAAGCCATTGGAAATTTTTATATTTTCAGAAATTGAACTTAATTTCATCTTTGAGCTTGCTGGTACATTGTCATTTCTATATCATGAGCATTTTTTAAATTCATTTCAGTTTTTCGGCTTGTTGTTAAATTTTCGGATTTCTGTATTTTCAGCCGTCTTTGAAATTTGTTTTAGCTATTTTTTGCAATATTTCACATTTATTTCAGCTGTTTTCATTTCTGCTTTTTCAGCAAATCTATTGAAATTCCTTTCAGCTTCTCCCATTTCTGTATTTTCAGCAATTTCAAATTAATTTCAGCGTTTCTAATATCTGTAATTTCAGATGTATTCAAATTCCCTTCAACTTTCAGTATTTTCAGCTATTTTTAAATATTCATTTCAGCTTTCAGCTTTTTGCATTCCAACGCATTTTCAGCAGGAAATGCATTTTCTAGTTGTTGGAATGCATTAACGATGCATTCCAAGTATTGTTCTTCGAATCTTTATTTCCACTTATTATTATTCTTCTATTTCTTCCGTGCCACCTTTCAACTCCTTCACACTTTCAGCTATTAAAATTCTTCAAATATTAAAATGTTCAGCTCCTTTCTGGCTTGAGGGCTATGACTTTTCAGCTTTCTACCTCTTAAGCTTGAATTTATATAAATCAATAATCGTTAATATTTTAACATGGTTTTCAAATGGAGTTTGCTTTTCAAATCCTCTTCAACTTCTTCAACTTTCAGATTTTTCAGCTTCGCCAATCTTTCAGCTACAGACACCATTTCAACTCTCAAATGTTCACACAAGTCTCAACTATTTTATGAAAAAAACTGCTTCTTGATATCTATTGTACTTTTTTCATAATACACGTGATTATGTTTCACTAGTTTTTCGCTCCG